ATTCTCACCACAGGACCTTCCTCCTGGTGTCTAATAATGCTTGTGCTCCTCAGTCCTCCAGCAGCACACCCTCACCCTCACCCTCTCACTCTCAGCTCCTTGCGCCTCTTGCTCCCAGCTCCTCACACTCGCACCACAAACTGAAGTGAGCTCCTTTTTAAAACCCAGGTGCCCTGATTAGCCTGCCTTAATTGATTCTAGCAGCTTCTTCTTAATTGGCTCCAGATGTCCTAATTAGCCTGCCTGCCTTAACTGGTTCTAGTAGGTTCCTGATTACTCTAGTGCATCCCCTGCTCTGGTCACTCAGGGAACAGAAAACTACTCATCCAGTGACCAGTATATTTGCCCTCTACCAGACTCCTGTACCCCACTGGTCTGGGTCTGTCACAGCTTTGAGTTATTAACTATTGCAGTGGCACTTAGGAACGCCATTCATGGGGCAGAATCCCGTTGTGGTAGGTGCTGCACACCCACCCTGAGGGTTGTTTTCTGTGGAAATCAAGTTTGTATTGCTTTGTGCATATCCTGTACAGTACACCATGTATTATTGCAACACAGTTCTGCCTAATGTCAGAGATTCTCACAGCTCATTTACATGCATAAGGGAAGGGTCATTGTCCCGTGCACTTGGAGTCAGGATAGTTGGCTTCAGTTCCTGACTCAGCCCCTGTCTTGGTGTATGGATAAGTTGTTTGATCGCTCATGCGGTGAACCCATCTATAAAATGTGAACAGTAATGTTTCATACGTCACGAGGATGCTGCGGGACGTAATTAGCATGTGGAAAGGACTTTGAGATCCCATTAAAAGGTTTTTTAGTTTGTGTATGTGCATGAATGCTTAGATACTATGTTAGTGGGCACCATGTAAGTACTATAAATAGTTTTACATGTTTACCTACTTTAATATGTCAAACTCAGTATGAGTCTATCTATAGTACTTATAATGGCCCTCAGTGCCATAGGAGCTGAGTCTTTACTATATTTATGCTCACAATAGCCCTGTGGGGTAGGGAAGTGCTATTATCCCCATTGTACAGATAGGGGGAGCGAGGCACAAAGAAGCGTTAGGTAAAATGGTCAGAAGTATTTATGTGACTTAGACACCTAAGTGCCTGTGTCACTTAGGTACTAAGTCCTATTGACTTCTGATGAGACTTAGGCTCCTAAATCCCATTTTCAAAAATGACTTAGGCACTTCGAAGGCTTAGTCATTTAGGGTCATATTTTCAAAAACGCCAGAGTGACTTGACCAAGGTCACTCAGTCTGAGCCAAAACAAAGACTGGAATTCTAAGTCTTAGACTAGGGCCCTAACCATTACACCATCCTCCCTCTGTCTAAGTTCTAGAAGACCCTCATTTTCCATTTTAACTGATATTCCCAAATCAATAAAATCCATTTTCCCTAATCGTATAAGCATTCATATGTTGGCATTAATTTAGGGTGAATCTGAAATCTGCTATGACAGGAAACGGGAACAAATGGATGTATTCTACCCATGGCACGTACAGCTCTGAGTTACACGCTGCATGTGTAGAAGTGAGAATGGGACTTTTTTCGTTTCTTTCCGAAGCTTCTGTAATCAATCAAAAGCCAACTGAACATAGTGAAGTGATTACACACTGTAATGACATTAATAATTTCAGACTACAGTAAAACACACAGCAGCAGGATTGTCTTAAGGATGATGAACTGCAGATCAGTGTGATGAAAGTACATGCCAGCCACCAGAAGAGATGTATAACTGCCTACTCAGAGCTACTTATCTCCTCCAATGTTCCGGGTGATACAAATGCTAACTTGAATTCTGGTCAGGCCACAATTTATGGACACAACTGTCCGCAGGCTGGTGCCAGGCCCAGCTATTAGAAGCCAGAGCCCTGGGTAGATTCTCATTAACAGAACGACGCTGTCATTGCTACATGGACAGTCCTAATTAACTGCAATGTCTGAAGGGCCGACTTTTGTTTCTTGCAGCTGATGATGCTAGAGAAGCTGTGAAGCACGGTCTAAATGGAATCCTGGTGTCCAACCATGGTGCGCGCCAACTGGATGGTGTGCCAGCAACTGTGAGTATTGGTGAAACCACTTAGGAATGGCACTTGAGAATCTATTTAGTAACTTTAATTGCATCTACAGCTGCTTGCTAACTTGTTCTCTTTCTCCCTCTGTCCCCCCACCCCACTCCTGCCCTGCCCCTTTTAAGTTGCACATGTGGTTACTGGAGAGGCAACATGTAAACGTGTGCTATATTTTTTAAGCTCTCCAATGGGCTGTTTCTTTCAAGGCCCCTTAGAATTTCACAACGTGCATGTAGGCACTCGTAGCCTCTTACTGGTGTGTCTGAGGGCAGCCTGTGGATTTCTTTCTTCTAAGAAATCAAACCAAAAGCCACAGAAGGATTAACATGTGGGCTGTTGCCGCTGGGAACCTGGGCAGCCTGCCCTGGCTGCAGGGCTCAGGAAAGCAAGCCAAAGGAGTGGTTTCAGGTTAGCTCATTTAAGAGCCCAATAAAAGGAGAAAAGTAGTCCTTGATGCTTGGCATGCCATGGATAATTCAAAACTTTAACTGCACTAGGAGGCGCAAGTGGGTACGTGTCTTCTGACACGTTGAAACAATGTCTTACCTCATGCTACCTGGTGGCAATACAACCCAATGCAATGTGGAATAAATAATGTAGCAGGAGGCCAGAGGTCACATCTAAAGAATTTGTTGACTGGATTAGCCAGGGTGAGAAGCCAACTATAGCTGAATTAACTCCGATATCTCCATTTTACTGTAAGCAGAAAGTCTGCATTTGTTTGGGGGTTGAGCCTTAGTGAACTCCTTCCCACGCCCATCTGTCTCTGTTCCCTCTGATGTCCATGAGCCCCCAGGCTTTGGTGATCTTCCACTTCCACTAAGAATGATAGGGCCCAGCAACTTCTGTACTGTTACCTTCTCCTAACCATACCAGTTAAGCATACCTGGAATTCTGGGGATTTTATGCTAATTAGGCAATATTATAACGTGCATATTTGAATATGCATTTCCTCATTTGAATAAACCTTCCTACTATCAAATCTATCAAAGGTCTCCTGCTCACCACACCTAGCTTTCCTCTCCCTGGAGTTTCTCTACCATTTCCCCCTTCCTTTCTAGTTTCCCCCATTCACCCTGTCTCTGGCTCCTTGCTGCTTGAGATTCCTGAACTCCTGAGAGACTGCGTGACAAGCAGGAGATTCGGATGGAAGCTCAGGTGGGTGGGAGAGGTTGCCCAAAATCAAGAGTCTTACAGGAAACCAGGAGTCTTAATAGAACTGGATGAAAACGTGAAAAAGAATTTGCAAAAAAAATTCAAAGTTGTTGTACAGGATTGGATCAATACAACAAAACTTGCTCCTGCTCTCCTCCCCCCCCCCGCTGCCAAATGTGCGGAATATTATTTCAAAGTTTTCTGAATTTTAAAAATTTAGAAATTCTTAGTATTTGTTTCCATTTTCCTCCCTACCCCTCTTTTTTACCACCTAGTGCAATAAACTGAATCATGTTTAGACTTGTCCCCCCGCTTTTCCTTTTGATGTGCTAAAACTTTTCAAAACCTACCGAAAAGCTACGAGGCAGCAAAAGGAGAAATGAAAATGCCAAAGTCTGACACTTTGACTTTTCACTACTTCTCCAGCTTTGGAAACCTTGCAGAGTTGTTGAGGCCGGGTCTACCCTATCACTTACTTCGGTGCAATTTACGTTGCTCAGGGGTGTGAATAAGCCACCCCTTTGAGTGACGTAGTTATGCCTACCTAAGCCCTGGTATGGACAGTGCTATGTCAGTGAGAGAGCTTCTTCTCCTGACATAGCTCCCGCCTCTCGCAGAGGTGTATTTATTATACCAATGGGAGAGCTCTCTCCTGTCGGCATAGAGCGTCTTCACCAGACACGCTACAACGGTGCAGCTGCATTGGAGCAGCTGCGCTGATGTAGCGCTTCTAGTGTAGACTAGCCCTTCGTGTTTCATTTTTCCTTTTGCTGCTCTGTAACTTTGTAACTTTGAAAAGATAGTGAGTAGAGTAGAAAAGAAAAGACGTTTACCTGGGGTGAATAACCATACAACCAGTAATCAGCCATGCTTTTGCATTCAGTGGCAGAGAAGAGTAATTGGGGAAATTGTTGCTTTTGCTGAAAAACTGGAAAGCTTGATAAAAATGTTTTCACAGTAGCTCTCAGTTCTGAAGCACACGCTGTTTTTCACTGAAAAACATTATGAATGAAAAATTTCCAGGATTTGTGTTAGAACATCCCTTCCTTCCCTTAGAACCCTTTGATCTCTTCCTTCCTTCCTCTCTGGGGGGCCTGCCAATTCCCACCATTAACCCTGCTCCCCAGATCCTGCTGGTGTTACACAAATGACCTTTTTCTAGTTTTTCAGAAGAAACCTTATCTTAGCTTTCTATTCTAGCTATGATCACACGTATTTCCTAAATGTTACACAAAGCAAGGAGCCAGCCTCTGATTGGCCCTAGCTTGCCATGTGTCTCAGGCAGACTAAGGACTACAGATGATTGCGGGGTGGGAGGAGGAGGATGGGGGAAGGCAGCTGTGCAGTGATACTCATCCTGGGAGAATGTGGATATGTCAGCTAGCAACTTGGCTCAGTTTTTACATGTAAGGTAGGGGTCAAAATTCTACTCTTGGGTCTTTCAGTTCTCAGATGTTCTCTGAATACTAGTATGGTTCTCCCATTACGTCACTAGGAGACTTACTCCTATAGGGAGACAAGAACATGCATTGCAATAAGTCACATGAACAGAATTTAGTACTTGTTCCTTCCAGCTAACTTCTGTAATTAGATCAGAGTCAACAACAGGAAAGTGTTTGTACGAACGTTTGTTTGCATTCAAAATGAAATTTAACTGTGATCATGACTTTTTAATATTTGCTTTCTGCAAACATTCACTCGGTCTGGCGTTACCACCTTGAATGTTTGCAGAAAGCAAATGTCAGATGCTATACGTGATTTGTAAAATTCCAAATCTACATGGCGTCAGGCAGCATTTAAGACCCTCAACTGGGGAACTAACCAATACCATGTGACTTGTGATTACTAACCAATGCTGCACGGATTCTGAAGTTTAAATGTAAAAGGGGATTTGCAGTGAACTATCACTAAAATCTTCAAGAGTGCCTCATAGACTTTTAAGTCAAAGTCTGATTTTCAAAAGTGACCTAGATCAAGATTTTAAACATGTCCAGTGATTTTTTGTAGCCTCAATTTTCAGGTACCCAATTTAAGACACCAAAAAAAGGCCTGATTTTCAGAGGGCAAGTGCTCAGCCGTTTCTGAAAATGAGGTCTCTTTTTAGGTGGCTGAAGCTGAGCACCCACAAAATGAGGCACATCTGAAAATCTGCTTGCTCACTTCTGAAAATGGGACTCCTAAGTCATTTGGGCAGTTCTGAAAATTTTACACTGTATGTGAGAGCTATTCTGAAATGAACCATTCATGAATAAATTAACAAATGATTTTGAATAATAAGGAAATTCAAGAATGTTGACGTCTAATCACATTTTGCCAACTGAAATAGAGGAAAAATTGAACTGAAAAATGTACTTGTTAGAAATTATTTGCTTGTAATGTTAGCTTGAAGGAGAAGAAACCGTTAAGTTATGTATTTTGAATATTCTGGTCTGTTCACTGGATTTCATATTGCAACAGTGGGGTATATTTTATAATACATTTTTCATAATATATATTTATACCAGATCATAAAATGTTTCTATTTCTGCATCATAATCACATGTTTTAATTTGATGGGTTTTTGAAATCTGAGTTGAACCCAAACTGGTTAATATTTCCTAATGCCTAATTACACATTGGGGAAATTGATGCAAACCATAATTAAAACATTTTACTTTAGTAATTACAGCCCTTGTATGGTGGTGCAGTTTGCTTGGATGTAGAAAGAGGGTGTTATTTTGATTCTTTAAAAGGGAAATTAATTACATCCCTGTTTGAAAAGGGATGAATTTGGAGCCCAGCTTGCCTTCCTAGAGCATGATGTTGTCAGCCTCCTTAGCATTTTGCTTCTAATCTAATGTCTCTCCTGCTTTGCTGACATAGTAAAAAGTTAGGCATGACAGGAAGAGTGATCCTGTAGTTACGGTAGTAGTCTGGGACTCGAGGCATCTTGTGTGATCATGGGCAAAATACTTAATCTGGCTCTGCCTCGGTTCCCTGTTTGTAAAATAGGAATAATCCCCCTTTCTTTTTTCCATCCTTTCCCGTGGCTAGTTCGATAGTAGGTTGAGTTGGCTGGAAAGTGAATGATTCTCTCTCTCTCCTCCACCCCCACACAAAAAAAAATTAGACAAAACCATTTTAAAAAATTGTATTATTTCAGGTTTTAGTTGAAATACTGAAAATGTTTTGGTTGTCAGTGAATGCCGACATTTTCCTTCCAAAATTGAAAATCAATCACAAAAATATGCTCACTGAAAAAGCCATTTTCACTGGAAAAAATGCTTTGATGGAAAATTTTCTACCAACTTTAATAGTAAATTCTTCAGGGCAAGGGCTGTCTCTTGCTATGTGTATGTACAGAGCCTGGCACAATGGGCTCCCAATCTCTGATGGGCCATAACACACACAAATGATATCATGCACAGGAAACTTGCGTATGTAGCCATTGTGATTGTGCATGTAAAACAGGATCTTTATGCATGTCTACTAGCACAATTAGAGAGACAAGGTGGGGAAGATAATATCTTTTATTGGACCATCTTCTGTTGGTGAGAAAGACAAGCTTTCAAACTTGCACAGAGCTCTTCTTCAGGTCTGGTGTATCAGGTTCATTGTGACTGGTCACTGGACTTGGTACATCCCATACTGCACTGTGCTAAGAGAAAAATGAGTTTAATTTGGTTCTAGGTTTCATGAAAGGTGCATATGCAACCCTAACAAGGACCTTGCTTTTATATGTCACGAGAAAGACAGCATCTCCAACAAAGTGTCCCCTAGCACTGCACTGGATCAGTACTAACCTCTTCTTACTAGTATGATTAGTCACATCCATATTTGTACACACAACTGCATTATTTGTGCACATTCATTAGGCACACAATTCATGCTTATCTTCATTAAAGACTGGTTCCTACATGTGGCAGTTGGCTTAAAAATTCAGTAGTGTCACAAGTGACTGAATTGCTACTGTCCTGTTCTTGCTTTCCTAGATTGATGTCTTGCCGGAAATTGTTGAGGCTGTGGAAGGGAAGGTAGAGGTGTTCCTGGATGGCGGAGTGAGAAAAGGCACGGATGTTCTCAAGGCATTAGCTCTTGGTGCCACAGCAGTGTTCATTGGAAGACCTATCATCTGGGGGTTGGTTTATCAGGTAATTCATCAAAGGCTGCAGTCCAAATTTTGACTATTAGACTAGCCTTTTAGACATGCACTAACATTCAGAAAATATGACCAGGGACTGTTATGGGTGCAAACTCAAGCCTGTGAAATTTATGAAATGCCAGAATTAAGATTGTCCATAAAACCTTAATTCAGCCCCCTGGTGCATATATACGTTGTAGTACAATATATTGTCTTCCAATCTATTAGGGTGAAGAAGGGGCAAAAGAAGTTCTCCAGATGCTGAAGGAAGAATTCCAGCTAGCAATGGCACTTTCTGGTGAGACACCAGCTTCCTTTCCATAGTCACAGTCCTTCCCTGTATGCTGCAATTGAAAGTATTATTTGCAGCCCAGCTAGACCAACCTGTGCTAGATTTAATCTAGCGAGTGAGGCTAAAATAGCTCTGAAGATGTAGCAGCGCAGTCTTCAGTGCAGGCTGTACAAGCCCGCTTGGGTACCCAGTCAGGGAGGTAACCTGTGCTGGGAATCCGTGGCACCCTGTCTTCACGGCTGTTTTTAGCGGCACTAGCTAGATTAAAGCTAGCATGGATATGCTGCGCTCACCCTCCTGACTGCAGCATAGACCCAGCCGCTGTCTCACATTGGTATAACACCTTTCATCTCAAAGGATCCCCAGCTGTGGACGAAATCCGTCCCTTTGTTTCCACGTGAGAGACAGTGGAGGGAAACGATACGCAGACTCTGTTGTTCTCAGTGCTGTAACATGGCAGGTATTCTGTACCTGGCCCAGTTCGGGCATCATGGGCCCCAGGAAGTGGACAGCACCTGCTGGTTTGGGGGCATGGTCAGACCCATGGCTATTCTCTGCATGTGCAGCAGTTAAAGATTCACAGTGCCTCTTTTTAAAGCCCCTCTGGCTGCCCTAAGTCATTCTGGTCTCAGCAAGCAGAATTGCTCTGGGACAGTCAGTACTCTTTCTGCCTCCTTCGCCACCCATATGCATGGCTGTGCTGAGATTGCCCTTATGGAAAAGTCTTATAGGATTGAAAAAAACCCCAAGGTTATAGAAACTGAACAGGGTTCTACAGAAATGGCTCTTCGATTGAGAATGATCTTTCTAAAGGTTCCTCAAGCCATCCTCCATAAGAAAGGAAAGGTAGGAAGTTTGGCAAGAGATCACTCTGGCTTAACCTGGAGATCTTCAATGATCCAAAACTCAAAAAAAGAGTCCTAGAAAAAGTGGAAACTAGGTCGAATTACAGAGGATGAATATTAACAAACAACACAAGCGTGTAGGGACAAAATTATAAAGGCCAACGCACAAACCAAGATGAAATTAGCTAGAGACATAAGGGGTAACAAGAAAACATTCTACAAATACATTAGAATCTAGACAACAGGGGAAGGCAATAACAGAAAATTTGGAAATGGCAGAAGTGGTAAGTGACTTCTTTGTTTCAGTTTTCACCGAAAAGGTTAGTAGTGATTGGGCATCTAACACAGGGAATATCAGTGAAAATGAGGTAGGATCTGAAGCTGAAATAGGGAAAGAACAACTTAGTTAGATGTCTTCAACTCGGCAGGGCCTGATGAAATACATCCTAGAATACTCAAGGAGCTGACTCAGGAGATATCTGAGCCATTAGCAATTATTTTCGAAAACTTGTGGAAGACGGGAGAGATTCCAGAGGACTGGAAGAGGGCTAATATAGTGTCCATCTATAAAAAGGGGAATAAGTACAACCCAGGGAATTACAGACCAGTCAGCTTAACTTCAGCATCCGGTAAGATAATGGAGCAAATAATCAAGCAATGAATTTGCAAACACCTAGAAGATAATAAGGTGATAAGTAACCATCAGCATGGATTTGTCAAGAACAAATCCCATTAAACCAACTTAATAGCTTTCTACCTGATCCGGCAGGTAGTGAAGACGTACCCTTTGAAAGGGTAACAAACCTTGTGGATAGGGGGTAAGCAGTAATTGTGATATATCTTGACTTTAGTAAGGCTTTTTTGATATTGTCTCGCATGACCTTCTCATAAACAAACTAGGGAAATACAGCCTAGGTGGAAGTACCATAAGGTGGGTGCATAACTGGTTGGAAAACTGTTCCCAGAGAGTAGTCATCACTGGTTCACAGTCAAGCTAGAAGGGCATATCGAGTGGGGTCCCACAGGTATCAATCCTAGGACCAGTTCTGTTCAATATCTTCATAATTGATTTAGATAATGGCATAGAGTACACACTTATAAAGATTGCGGATGATACCAAGCTGGGAGGGGTTGCAAGTGCTTTTGAGGATAGGCTTAACATTCAAAATGATCTGGACAAACTAGAGAAATGGTCTGAAGTAAACAGGGGGAAATTCAATGAGGACAAATGCGAAGTATGCCACTTTGGAAGGAACAATCAATTGGGACCACATACAAAATGGGAAATGACTGCCTAGGAAGGAGCACTGTGGAAAGGGATCTGGGGGTCATGGTGGATCACAAACTACATATGAGTGAACAGTGTAACACTGTTGCAAAAAAAGCAAACATCATTCTGGGATGTACTAGCAGGAGTGTTGCAAGCAAGACACGAGAAGTAATTCTTCCGCTCTACTCCATGTTGATTAGGCTTCAGCTGGAGTATTATGTCCAGTTCTGGGCACCACATTTCAGGAAAGATGAGGACAAATTGGAAAAAGTCCAGAGATGAGCATCAAAAATGACTAAAGGTCTAGAAAACATGACCTCTGAGGGAAAATTGAAAAAAATGGGTTTGTTTAGTCTGGAAAGTGAAGACTGAGTGGGGACACGATAACAATTTTCAAGTAGGTTGAAAGGTTGGTACATGGAGGAGGGAGAAAAATTGTTCTTGTTAACCTTTGAGGCTAGCACGAGAAGCAATGGGCTTAAATTGAAGGAAGGACGGTTTAGGTTGGACATTCGGAAAAACTTCCTAACTGTCAGGGTGGTTAAGCACTGGAATAAATTGCCTACGGCGGTTGTGGAATCTCCATCATTGGAGGTTTTTAAGAGGAGGTTAGACAAACACCTGTCAAGAATGGTCTAGTTATTATGTAGTCCTGCCTTGAGTGCAGGGGACTGGACAAGCTGACCTATTGAGGTCCCTTCCAGTCCTACACTTCTATGATTCTATAACACAGATACATTTTCTATTAATTGATATAAAATGGTTAAAAACCATAGAGAATGTTTAATTTCTCTAAGACATTTTTATAAGAGGAATGGGGACGATTACGTCCTATGGTATTACTTACCTGCCCCCCCCTCCACCCAGCTCCTTCTAGGATGGAAGATACAATTTAACACTACACAACAGTTGGGGATAGGATGGGAAGCAGCATCCCATATCCTATTGGAACAGCAAGGGGAGACTGAAGTAGAATGAATATTGGAAGTGGGAATTTGGCCAGAATATTGGGGTTCATGCCTCTGTACTTGCAAAAAGCACCAAGTGATCTCTAATGCTTCTAGTGCTAGTGAGGAGTAGAGCCATCTGACAGTCGCCAGGTTCAGTTTGCAGGAGCCATCAGCAAATGTGGGTCTCTCCCCCCCCCCCACCCGCAGTGATGGGCTTGAGCTGCAACATTTGGATCCTGATCTACATTTTGAAATCCCTCCCTCCTCCTAGTGCAGAGGGGGTTAGTGTGGGGGACCAGTTTGGCCCAGTATCGAGATAGGGGACCCTGATGAAACTCAGAGCTGGCTCCCAGTTCTGTGGTGGTTAGTTCCAGGGCTTTGGTTTGGGCTGATGCATTTTCACCCCAAGTTTCAGGTTCAAAGGGGAACTTGGCAGAAAATGCTACATCTCCCAAATTTTCTGCTTGAAACCATATGCAGGGCCCCCCTTCTTCAGGACACGCTCTCCTCCCAGTAGGCCCCTGCTCTGTTCCTTTGTAGATGCTTTCTTTGGGGGCTCCTTCTGGCCTGGAGGCTCCTCCAACTCGAGCATGATCAGCGGGGAGAAGGTTGGACCCTTTTCCTACTCTACATCTTCAGGGGTGGCCGACAGCTTTGTTCTCCCAAATTCCTCCTTCAAGTGGACTGTGAAAGCAAGCTCACTACTTGCCAGGGCCGCCCGGGGGAGGTGGGGGTCAAGGGTCATCTTTCACTGGAAGACCAGTTCCTGAATAATGCTGATTATTCTTCTAAGTATATTCACATTATACGTATGTAATTTCTCTCCCAGGATGCCGGAGCGTGAAAGAGATTGACACGACATTGGTACGAAGAACTTCCTCTGCTGTGTCCAAGATTTAGCACAAAAAAGGTGTTGCTCTGGACAAAACCACCCTCTTCACTGTGGCCAGATTGTTCTGTTTGGGCCCCGTCATGAAACCCTTACTTAGGAGAGTAGCCCGATTGGTTTATAGGGGGCTACTTCTGAAAGAAGTACATGGGCCAGGTTTTCCTGAGTGCTCAGTAGCCCACACTAGCCCCTTAAAAGGAGCAGAGCACTTGTGAAAATCTGGCCCCTGGTGCGAATAAGGATGGCAAGAGTGGGCCCTAATTCTCTCCTGGTGCACACAATTGTAGTTGTTGTCCAGCTAACCAGAAACTGCTAACTTTTCAATATGTGTACAGATGCGAAGAACTTTTCTCAGATGTTAACATGCATGTCTGGAAGTAGCTTAGCTGTTAAAATGAAACTATAAACAGAAATGTTTTGATAGCAAACAACTACCAAAATATCAAAGTTTAAAGGATACCTCTTGTTCACTGTTTATAGAAGCTACACTTCAGATTGTCCAGATTAAATATTCCTTTCGTATCAACATGGCATTGTTTCCCCTAGCAACTACATGACTGTGTAAACAGCGTAGGCTGGGAGCTGTGTAAGTATCTTGGCGGCTTTTGAGATGCAAGGGATTGTACAGCCAATCCGGAGTTTGAAGGTTCACAGTCTTAACTGACACAAATCTCTTTGCACTTAAATTATAATAATATAAGAATACCGACCATAAGCCAGATCCTCAGCTGGTAGAAATCCATGTAGTCCGAGTGACTTGAACACCAGCTGGAGTTCTGCTATATTTTTACCTTAAAAAAATTAACATTGGTTTAGATGATTTCTTGGACAAATTTCACTTCCCTGAAGTATAAATACGAAATAATAGTAATGATGCAGTAAGTGCTGAGTATGATGTCAGCCACACATCTTTAATTAATTAATGGAGATATCCCATCTCCTAGAACTGGAAGGGACCTTGAAAGGTCATCGAGTCCAGCCCCCTGCCTTCACTAGCAGGACCAAGTACTGATTTTGCCTCAGATCCCTAAGTGGCCCCCTCAAGGATTGAACTCACAACCCTGGGTTTAGCAGGCCAATGCTCAAACCACTGATCTATCCCTCCTTTCACACGAGGAGGGTGTCTATCCATTATTCTACAGATGGGGAAACTGACATGCAGAAAGGTAATATGTAAACTGCTAAGAAAGTAAGTAAAATTGAATGTGTCTCTCTTATTTCCATTGTATGAAGAAGGCCTGGACATGCGTTTTTGGTTTTTTGGCTTGATATTTAATTTAGGAATATTAGCGCTGACAAGTATTCATTTTGCTGGAGGTCCTCAAGGTTGTGTACTGGGAATTTTTACACCTCAGAGAAAGCAGGAGGAGAGTGCTTAGATAATATGCCAGTGCTCCAGCCTAGCAGTCATAAATTGGCTGATATTTCATATAGGCGTATAAATGGCACTCTGCAACCGTTGGGACAAATCACGTTCCATTGACCCTAGTCCCGTTAAGCTCAATGTGGCTCCTTGCGCGAGTAAGGAGAGCAGGATTTGACTTATCAAGGACTTCATTGAAGTAAATGAAAATACTCCTGTTGACTTTAATGGCCTTTGGATTGGGTCCCCAAGAGGCTAATTCTTCCAACCCTTGCTTACATAAGTAGTCCTTTTTCAAATGACTAGTCCCATTGTTCACGTGAGGGCCATAGCTATTTATGGACAAGTGCAGAGTCCTGTACTTAGGACGGAAGATTCCCATGCACCGCCACAGACTAGGGACCAAGTGGGTAGGCAGCAGTTCTGCAGAAAAGGACCTAGGGGTTACAGTGGACGAGAAGCTGGATATAAGTCAACAGTGTGCCCTTGTTGCCAAGAAGGCTAACAGCATTTTGGGCTGTATAAATAGGAGCATTGCCAGCAGATCGAGGGATGTGATCATTCCCCTCTATTCGGCATTGGTGAGGCCTGATCTGGAGTAGTGTGTTCAGTTTTGGGCCCCACACTACAAGAAGGATGTGGAAAAATTGGAAAGAGTCCAGCGGGGGGCAACAAAAATTATTAGGGGGCTGGAGCAAATGACTTATGAGGAGAGGCTGAGGGCACTGGGATTATTTAGTCTG